GAGTATAATGTTTAGTGTTCATGCATCGAACATATGTACATGAGATCTTCGCTGAAACTCCCCCTCGATCCTCTTATAATACATACCGTTCCAACCTAACCTCATCGAATGTCGTACTTCCATAGGAGATCGTTTGCTCGCATTTACTGTACCAGTGCGTACGGATACAACGTGGATATATCGATGCTGTAAATACACTCTGTCACGTAGCGTATACTTTGATCCCTGTACTACGTACGATCTTATGCATGTACTCCAGTTATTACAGTCGTACTATAGATTTGGCGGGTCGTTACGAAAGACAGAAAAATTTGGTCCGTGATTTCTTTTTCTTTCGTCTGCCTATTAACGTTGGTTAATATCGCCTGAGAATGGCGAATACTCGAGTGCGTGGGTGAGAATGAAAAATTTATCGGACCTTTCTTGATAGGTCAGTTTCGCTCGAGCGATTATCCTATGATGAGGATGAATGTTGACGATGGCTGGGGGGGAGGGGGGGGGGGGGGGGGGGGGGGGGGGGGGGGGGGGGGGGGGGGGGGGGGGGGGGGGGGGGGGGGGGGGGGGGGGGGGGGGGGGGTAAGGGCCTTCCAGACGACGCAGGAGAAAACGACTCGAAATGGGTTCGCAAATGCTTCGTGCCCTTCGGGGGCAGACAATGGGACGGACTCTCGTAAAAAGCCGATCCCACCGACGAAACGGGATTCGAAATTTTATATTTGAAATTTATTATCGCCCGAGCGATGCCAGCGAGAACTGCGCCGGTGTGCGACTGCGGCGCGGCGGTCGGGTTTCGCGCCGTTGTGCGGCTCTCGCCGCTCGCATTCGCCCGGGCTTAATTTATCGTTCCTCAACTTTTTATTAATTTCGGCCATTCGAGAATCGAGGGCCAATGGCCAGTCGCTCGCATTAAGGATACTCGCCCACCGAATGCCCGTACTCGTCTCTTTCGAGACGGAATGCCGTCCTAATTTTTCTTAGACACCCCTGCCCCCCTCCCTACCCCTCTCCCACGTACTTCGCTGTATACCTACCGCGGCCACTGCTGAAATCCCGCCGTCAGAATCCTCGTATGCTCAGCGATTCCAAAAATCCGTCTCGTTTTGCCACTCGGCCACTCTTTGACTTGTTTCCATCGTTCCCGCCGTTCCCCTCGTCTTGCCCCGTCGCTCTCTCAGTTACTGGCTTCCCCGTCTACACGATTCTCCGTGTTATGGATTTCATTCCAAATAGGAATTTAACCCTGGGTAATATTATTGTTATACCCAATTCTTTGTATTACGCACGTGCACGGGGATCTTTAATTTATTGGCGCTACAAGAGAATCACTGTTTGAGCGCGCATGCATAATAGTAATTTCTTACGAAGAGTCTTGTAAATACGATTCCTTGGAAATTTCCTCCCTTTCGATTATAATTTGCATCCGCGATGATTCGTATCGGCCTTTATGTATATACGTATATCTGGTGTATATATTTTATACGTATACAAGCGCAACGCACTTTTTGCACTCGGATACGTTATAGCGGCCAGTCTATCAATCGTATAAAGACATACGTTATATACGCGGCAATAATGTCTGCCTCGTGGATAATGAAGAAACACTGTTCGTGCTCTCGTTCGAAAGTATCGCCGACGTCCGGCGTCGTACCAGCGGATTGACGTCGATTCTCGACATTGATTCGAGAGCATCGGGCTAATTAACTGCGATTGCCGAAGAAAATCTCGCGCGGCTTCTGTCACGGCTGGTATCGGGGAGAGGAGGGGGAGGAGAAGGAGGAGGGTATA